TGTGTGAGGGTCCGAAGCTGGTGGGTGTGGAGGTGGTGTAGCAGCCACTTTCCTTGGTCAAATGTGTACAGAGGCTGAAGGATGGAAATACCCGACGGTCACGCATATACTCTGCCTCGCGCTGCTGTGCGGCCGGCTACACCCCTAGTCGTCCTAGTCGTAGCGAATAAGCGAGTAATGGAACCATACATTGTAACTACGAGAACTCGTGTGGTTGTCATAAGAGAAATGTCGTCCAAGAGTCGAGAGTGCTGAAGGAAATTGCCCATAGAAGTCCAATACGAATAAATAGATAGTGAACTGCAATTGTGTCATGCTCCTGGAAAGAAACTAGGATTCGTTTTTTGGCTAAAAAAAGTACAGTATTAGTGAAAAAGTAGTATAAATTCTTGAGGACAAATACACACTCCACCCTCCCACCGACGACCTTGGTACTTGCAGTGTGTGGGTAAGATGAGCTCGAATATGCACTAGCCTGCCACTTTCGCCAGTTAAAAGTGCTCGGGAACGGACCTGGACAGTAGTGAAACGTGGGTGCCGTCTACCCCCCCCCCCCCCCCCCACCAGCGCTGCCGCATGGCCAGTGTAACCATTGTCGAAGGCAAGGTACTTGTCTGCACCCGTACATGGTTATTTTGTACCACTGAGTATGTGTTTCGATGCAGGGCCTTGGTATCTGCGCAAGTGCTGCACATTGAGGATAGGCTGGCGGACTATGGAGCCGGCACTGGGCTCAATACTCTCCAGCCTAGTTTCCGTGCATCTGATATTTACTGAATGGCCATGTTGCACAAAATGGCCACTTTCAGGTTTGGTGAAAACGTCCCGAAAATTTTGGAGGTAATGAACGCAAATGCCAATAAGTTTGAACACCTGCCAAGAGGACCGATAGGTGAGTCGAAAGCCTTTTTTTTCTTTCTGGGTCCATATCATCATTTGTTGATCTCTGGGGATTGAGCGGATCTACTAACAATAAGGCACTTCCAGCTTCCTTTCTTATAAAGTATGCTCTATCTTTGCCTTTTCGCTGTTGTTGATAATTTTCACTGCGCTGCACATTACGAAATTATTTTGAAATACATTTTTCAGGTATGCATATAAAAATCCGCGATCGGAGGTGGGCATTTGCCATCGAAGAAGCCACTCGCCGTCTGCTGACATCATTCGTGTTCAATTCAAAACGGGATCATCAAGTTTTTGAACGCCTCATGAGGAGTAACCGGATAGGTGGAGCTTTGCCCAATGCGATATTTGCCAAGTAAATGAGTTTATCGTTATAGATTACTGTTTTGAGATGTAAAGGTAAAGGTTTTTTCAGGTTCAATATTCCTCCTCATGACGTTAGTTTTAACGAGCCATCTTCTGAATGGGACACTATACTGCGAATGATTGACGTTAAAGATTCAGTTATCAGGTTGATAAGACGTTATTGATTGCTTCTGGTAACACTGAATATAGAAATTTTGCCTTTTCCGTTTACCTATGTCAAAAATGTTCAGCATGTTCTGGTTTATGTTCTATGTGTAATCAGGGCGTGGGATCGTAGGCCCGTAGCGAGGGGGTCGTATTTGACGCTAAAGGGTCGAGGGGGTCGTACTTGCTTTTGAGCGAGATGTTTCCGGTTGTTGACTTTTCAGGATCTTCCCCATTTCATGTACTTTATAAAGTCCCTCTCCCCTGGGAAGTGCTGGAAAACCTTCGGAAAACTGGAAAAGTGGTAGAAAATTGGAAGGATTTAGGAATACGGAAGAGCGGATAAGGAAGTCGGTCGTACCAGGAGTGAGTTACAAGGGGGGAGGGGTGAATCGTATTCTGCGAAATTTTTCCCCAACGGCAGGACGTGCCCTGTGTGTAATAGAGAAGTAGTAATGGCTAATATTAAGAAATGTCCTGATCGATATGGCATCGGCAGAAGGCACCATTCTTCTCAAAACAGACGAAGATGCTCGTCGTATTATGGATGGCATTGTGAGTTTTCGGCGGTGATACCATCGCTCACGCGCTTTTGCATATTTCTTTAGTAAAATAGTGCAGCTTTAGTGCCCTGATAAATGCACCCGAGCATACACCGCAACCGGTGGCTTGGCTATGGGCCGAAATCGACGTGGAGAAGGCTTCTACCGTTTCTATGCCTGTCGCCGCCCTCCGAGAACTGTTTTACTTGCAGAACAAGGAACTGAAGCGGACGTTGAGTAAGTGGATGTGGACCTATTTCTCTTTTATCTTTTTCGTTGTGATGTCATGTTTTTGACTTTGGCTATCGTTCCTTGCTAGTACTTTATCTCATAGTTTGTTTTATAGCGCTATGAAAACCGAACTGACACGATTACAAGGTGAACAGCACCGGTTACAAGGCGAGGTTACGGCGGTACGTCTCACATAGTTCTTAGTGTGCAACAGTTAAATGGGGTAGTTCAGGCATCCTCCGAGGCTAATAGAACCCAGTTCGAACTTGACAAGGCTCTGCAAAAGTATACCACCATAGAAGCCGATCTGAATAGGCTGAGAAGTCAATATCGATCGTTGGAACGGAAGTTAGAACAGCTCGAAATGGATGACGATTACTCAGTGGTAGATAATATGGTACGTCTCAGACTGTGAACGTGATTTCACTTCTTTTCTTGTATATGGTGCGACGGTAAAACACTGGTGATGGTGTGAGTGATTTGACTTGACTGGCTTCTCTCCTTACTACACAATTTCATCACTTATGGCGTCTCCCCGGCGCCCGCAACAGCGTTCAGACTTCTCGATGACGCGTGTAGACGCTCTGTAACGCGCTGTAGTGCGCGCTCCCATTGAAACAGCGCTCCAGTGTGGACGCGAACGTAGCTGCAGACGGAAAACGATCGGCGCCGGCCGCTTGTGTTTTGAGAGAGGCTTTAGGAGAATATTGATGAGTGGGAGAGCTCTCAAACAAATGGCCCTGCCGATCCATTCCTGTCTACGCTGCGTTCGCGTCTGTAGCGCGTCGATGTGCGAAGTCTGAACGCCCATTGCTTCCCATTCATCTTCATCACCATAGCATAGTGCTTCTTGAAAACTGATTCGTCCGCTTAGGTGGGGAACAGGTTTTTCATTGAACTATCCGTTTTTTGTGAATGCTGAATTTTTCCATCTTACATCTGAAATACGAGTCGGTCGAGATTTTAATAAGGATGCCCATGTAAAAATGTACTTTGAGTATATCTGGTCTTCAGTCTCGGCCTCTTTAACATATATTCCTGGCTAATTTCAGTCGCAGCCAGCTTGAATGAAATCAATGCGCAGATTGCGGAGCTGGACGAAGATTTCAAGAAGCTAGCCGAGGTAAGACTTATATTTGAAAATGTCTACCTATCCATAGACTGAATCATTCATGATGCGTGATCTCCTAAACGGGTTCCGAAATGAATCTCGGCGACAAACTACGTTCCGAAATAACTAAGGCTATAACCTCTCAAAGGATCAGGATTCTGTAGACGATTGGAGGCTATACAACAGTCAAAAGTGAAAGTTTGCAATAGCTTAGCTGGTATCTGACAGGTTTAGGAGCCGCGCTTCAGCCTCGCGGTCCGCGCGATCGGATCGCTTTGGATCCGCGCGACTCGGATCGCGTGCATCGAATCGCACTATACTGAGGCGTGAAATTACTGCGGGACGGAGGGGCGGTATATATTGCGTATTATGTTTAATGATCTTCGATGTCTCTTTCTTTTACCTCTCCTTTCTCCATCTTGGCTGTCTGATTTCTTCGCTGCTTAACAGAACTCAGCAGTCCACGGAAATTGCTACATTGCGAACCTGAAAACAAATTGAGCAGGGAGTATCAAAAAAACAAACTCAAAGATATTTGGAGCACTTCCTTAAATCAGGAAGGCGTTATGAACAATAAGAGGAACAAAAGAAGGAAAAGAGAGAGAGAGCAGGATCAATAAACATATACGCACATAACCCCCTCCCGCAGTAATTTCACCCTCAGTAGCGCGATCGGATCGCGCGATCCGCGATCGCGCCGATCGCACAAGTCTGAACGCCTCTTGGTAGGCCCATGTGTACCCGTCGGCGGTCCGCATTCTAACCATTCAGTGGGTACTAGCTAGTAGCCGCCGCTCTACTAACTCTCACCATTCCGAATGGTGGAGTGATAACGGAAAAGAGCTGATATCATTGTGACAACATGAAAATTTATAAAGAAACGCGTTCTGTTCATCGTATGCACGTGCAAGTTGGCCTCGGCAGAAGGTCCTTCGGAGAGCATTTCGAATTTTTTTTCTGCTCTCTTAGTTAGTTGTATTTTGTCACCCACCATCGGCATTTGTGGTCATCGGCTTTGCCGTCAATTAATCTGCATTACTTAACCAAGCTGACCATTTGCTGATAAAAAAGCCGAAGCCTTTGGTCGTAGATAGTTGCTTTTTTGAATTTCAAAGTGTGCCACGCAGTACTTCCAGTTGGAATCGTGCCAACTTTTGCCTGTGATATAGCTTACGCAATGACTGCGGAGCCATTCGGTGTACAAGCCGGTGTTTCTAACATCTCAGTGAGTTTTGTACTAATTCGGCTGCCCCAGAGAAGGGTTGGTGGCCATGGCGGAAGCAGTTCCTAACTCGACCGAAAAACTCGTGCGGTAACAAGCGATGCTTGCCACTACACTACCATTAAACCTTTTTGCTGATATTTCGAGTTCTCACCTTTTGATTTTCCTGTTTTATCAGTTTCTTATTTGCATTATTTTTCATGCTGTGATTACTGATTGCCTGGTGCTCAAATCGATATGAAGGCTATTCTTGATCCAGATCCAGGCTCAAGCTGTTTTTTCAGAGTACATCGCAGAAGCAACGCGAGCTGAAAGAATTAAATGAGAGCTATAAGGATGTCGAAGTCGAATTCAAAGATGGTAAAAAGGAATTGGTCGATCTTGAGGTACTGTAGAAGACCGTTTTATTCGCTGTCGCAATCGTCTGTTCCTTTCTCTGTAATCGTTCTCGAACGAAATTTGGAAAATTAATTGTGAAATCAATGTAAACAGGAGACTTCGAGACAAGAAGTGCGTGAAGGCTTTCAGTTTTTGTTTTCAAACATACAATAGAACTTTAGCTCAAGAAGTTGCTATACAAGAAAAGATTCGCCACATAGCGATTGATATTGAATCTAATATGAGACGAGTCGCTAGGATACAGGAGGTGAGCGAGGCTTCAATGATCGCAAACCTTCAGACCTTTCTTTTTGGCTAGCTCAGTTGCTTGATTTTGCGCGCTTTGATTGGCTAGCTTCAGTTGCTTGATTTCCCGCGCTTTGATTTGAATTATTACCCTATTTCTGAGGTGTAGGGCGCATCCGTGCATAGTGCGCGTTTCACCTCGAAGGCTCAGGAAAGAAAGATGCTTTATTGATGTTATACACTTACGTCTGGTTGAATAATCAATTCTAAAAGTACTGTTGGTCCTATCAGTAGATAGTTTCATGGTTTACCCTAGGTTATCAGTACTGCCAGTAATTTGTGTGGCGCTAGACGGTTTCGAAAAAATACTCGCTCAATAAAACTGAATAGGAAGTTTTAGCAAGTTGTTTAGTTGTGAGAACTGCTGTTTAACGCCGCAGTTTCGCGCGCGCTTCGGAAGTGGTTACTATAATGCTGAGAGGGTAAGAGCGGTCGTGGTTTCGTAAAGGATAGTGCACTCGGCTGGAAAGCTTGAGGTGCGGGTTCGAGTCCTGCCTGGGGTCAGGATGTTTGATTATGTGTTTAGAAAACTAGATCTCACAAACTTATGCGCCTTTTTCGCGATCCTTCAGATAAATGCCTCATCTCTCAGAAAACTAGGTAGTAATAAGGTCAATGAATTCGCTGACTTGATTAACTTTTTAATTTCCTCGGAACAATATTGATTGTTGCAGTCATTCGCCAGAATGGATGAGAGCATTAGAGAGCTCGAAATAAAGAAGGAAGAAGCTGAGAAGACGGTGAGCCTCTCTCGTTCCTAATTTTTTAACTGATATTTCTCGGTAAATGCCGTATAAAATATTGTGCTTCTCATAGAAGGCCTAATACCTCCCGAAGTAGAGTTGCGGTCTGCCTTTCAACGCTGCAGTTCGCGATCCAAAAGTTATCACTAGAATGCTCAGTTATGTGCAAAAGTCGGAAGCCAAGGGGACTTGAATCATCTCCCGCATCTCCCGCTGACCGGTTGAAAACGCTATCCATTGCGAGGCGCTAATGTAATCGCACCCTCGCAGTCAGCCGGAGTTGCGGTTTCAATGTCGCCGGTGGCTTCGGACTTTGTGCTTTTGACCAGCATTTTCCGCTTGATATTTCATGTTCTTCAGAACGTTTAAGCAAGGGTTAATCATTTGAGTGCTTTCTTTTTTTTTTCTCTCTCTCTTTTTCTTGAAGTCCTTATTGCATCTGATAAGGTTCCCTCATCTCATCTTTCGTCCTTGTTTAGGAGTTCACATCCTAATCAAAATTAGCGGTTGTGGACTTTTGTAGGAGAAATATTTTTCTTGTCGAATATAGTCGCACTTACATTCGTCATCCGGGCACTTGATTAGGCGGCCAAGGGTCGCGACGCGGCTGTTCAATGTCTGCTTAAGTGGTCAACTGTACGCAAAAGTAAGAAGAATCTCAATGATAATTGCACCTTGTGAAGACAAGAACAACTAATCGTGAGAAAAGCTGCCAAATAAGTGTAAATTAGGGAGAAAATGGCTAAAATAGGCTGGAAACAGCTGATCGCCGCGCTCGTGACACGCCGCAGCCGCGTCGCGACCCTTGGCCGCCTAATCAAGTGCCCGGATGACGACTGTAAACATCTTTTACTATATTTCAAAGACTTCTTTTTCGGCCTCACATGTGTAGCATAAACTGCTTTGGTGAATTGTGTACATATGAATTTAATGTTTTAGGCTGAAAGAAGTAAGGAAATTCCCACGCCGTCGTCCATGTCAAATCCGCCCGATATGGAGCAGCTTGCTGACACAACTGAGCTTGATGAGCAGTATAAAGCCCTGACGCTCAAAATTGAGTCGGCAGAGAAAGTGTGAGTGATAATCCTTTCGAATATCGTGTGAAGTGTTGGTATCATTTTGATTTCCAGGATTGGTAGGACTATCACTATGGAGCAGCTTCAGGCGTTCAAGGACAGTTACGAAACGTCGAAGAAGCAATACCTGGTATTGAAGGCCCTGAATCGAGTATGCGTTTTGCTATTCCGTCATTTTCAACTTGCTTCTCGAACTCAGTTCCCTTTTAGAAGCTTGCGGAATGTCTTCAAATAAGAAAGGAAAAATTTCCGGTCATGTGCCATGCAATCACCATGCGGTTGAAGATGACCTTCCAAAGGCTTATGGCGACCAGGTAAGATTTCATGAACTTTGTTATAAGTAATTCTGAAATAAGCAACCTCTTTCGAAATGATACAGTGCAGAATTCCACTTATTTTTCACTTCTCTTCCTCACGTTTTAGAATTGGGGCTAGATTTCTGAACGTTGCCCTGTAGGAGTAGATTTGGTTGAAACTCATTTCCGGAACACGATATCAGCTGCGAGCTGCTGCTATCAGTGCGAGAGCAGTTCCCTTGCACCAAAAATTTATGAGAAATATCAATTCGACGGGGAGGAGGTGTTGTAGGGACAAGTGGCACGCTCACCACTCGCGCGGTCCGGGTTCGAATCCCGGGTCGACTCCCGCCCAGGCCAACCAAGCCTTCTACCCTCCGGGGACGGTGAATTGGTACCAGATTCGTCTGGGAGGATAAAACACTGACTTGTACATCTGGCCACCGCAAGTCATTGTATAGGCCACATCGCATTCAATAAGCCACTACGATTCTGAATGGAAGTAGAATGCGTGCCGCATCCCACAAAGGGATTGATTAACGGCGAAGACTTTATCCTTTTTTTTAGCTCATTTGCTTTCAAAGGTGTATGGTAATGTTTAGCAATGACGTTTTAATGCGAAGTGAGTGCGATATTTGTACTGGTAGTTCATTCATCTCTGAGCAGAGAATTTCAGGAAAGGTAGTCAAAAACGTATGACGCGAGCATTGAAACCTGCACGCTAACCTGGTCTTTCCTCACTTAATATTCTGTGCTGTTGCGGTTACTATATTCCGTTTATTACAGGTCATATCACGGCAATCTGATTGTCGATCGGCAAAAGGAAGTTATCAATATCAGCGTAGCAACCCATCAGAAGGATGACAGTGCTCACGCGGTTGCCAAAAGTGTTGTACAGGACCTCAAAGGTACAGTAATTCTGATGCTTACTGTATGTTGTGAGGTGATGGGGCAAAGCCGCGAGTACGCGCGGTGCGCTCTGATACGGTGGGTAGCTTGCTCTGCCATACCGCTGCATTCAAAAATGTATTTTGCTTCTTTAGTCTGTTAGTCAGTGGCCCTGAGGCCAATTAAGACTTCGCTCAAACACTCTTGTGAGTTCAGGTACCAGCTCTTGGTTTGTATTTGTAACCAGCATCCCCAACTTCGTTATACTTAGGCCTCCATTCAAGGTCCCATTGGAGGCTGATACCTTATTCCTAGCGTTTCTTGAGTTGAAGGCAAACTGCACACTAACCTTTGAACACGGTTCTTGCTTTAAAAGAGGAGACCGAACTGAGAGCTGTACACGCACTTTCAGCAGCGTCGAGCGCGCGAAAATAAATCTGAAGGGTAGTGATAACCTGGTGCGTCAGCTCAGAAGTGCAACGGGGCTAGGGAATTGTCATACTTCAAAAAAGCACGGAAAGCAGGCCCCAAGCGTAATGTTACAATCGAAATGGCTTACGGGTAAGCAAACCCTCCAGCTCTTTCCCCATGCGTTTCTGAGCGGAGACAGTAGCGCGCTACTGTATGCCCATTCATCGCGCTCATGGCAATTTGAAACCGCGAGTGGTTGAAATCATTATCACCTGCGAGTACTTATTCATCTGGTAAGTTATGACGTTGATAGAAAAAGCATCCCCTTTTACAAATGGGGATACTACTGAAGCCGTCACCTTTTAATGTTTCTAATGGCTTCGCTATTCCATCGTGTTTAGGATTATCCGGTGGTGAAAGGTCGTTCACCACGGCATGCTTCATTATGGCTCTGTGGGAGATTATGGAAGCGCCGTTTAGATGTATGGATGAATTTGACGTCTTTATGGATATGATCAATAGACGCGTGAGTAGTTTCTCATTAAAATTTTACTGTTTCTCTTTATTTCATCCTTTCTTTCAGGTTATTATGGATCTGCTGGTAAAGTTGGCTACGGAACAATATTCACACAATCAGTTCATCTTTTTCACTCCTCAAGGAATCAAAGAGCTTGGCGAACGCGAGCATGTTCAAGTATTTGAAATGCCAAAAGTTCGAGATTAGTTACCGATGTATCATGGGTTTGACTCGCGGGCAAGGCTAAGGTGTCATAACTGCATTTTCTTTCGTCTCAAGCTTCCTGACTCCTAATTTTGTTAATAGATGTGTGATTACTTTTGTTTGTGTACATATATGTGGTAATAATCGTCAAATTTTTCTCCTCGGTGTTCACTAAATCCTCCTCTTTAATCGCCTGTGTATTGTTTGATTGTCCCACTGGAATCAGCACATTTAGGAGGTTTTATATGGTTTTAGCACTAATTTTTGTTGAGTTTTGTCCCATATTTCTTATGTTTTGTTTTTTTGCCCAACTACTGAACTACTTCCTAGATGGGGTTTCCTTGTCCCAGTTAGCCTCAGGTTTTGCTAATCCAATCAAAAGCAGTGGGCACGATGGGCGGGGCAGGCGATGTTGCCAGCGTCATTGGTGAAAGAGCTGCTAGAGCGCGTTCGGTCACACCATTCACCTCTTCCACAAATGACGTTGGCATCAACCGCCCGCCCCCAACCACCATGCCCACTAGCCTTAAGCAGACCATCACTTTCGCCCTGTGCAGGCAAAAACTGCGATGGACTTCAGCCGCGGTTGAAAATACCAGATCATAGGAAGCTTCCTTTTGTGCCTTTTTTCATTTCCATCCTGGTTTTCGAATGAAATCAGTGCGTAGTTGGCCTACCATGCCCCATCTCCTTTCCTCATTATTTTCCGTTTATTTGTGTGCTGTGTATGAGTCTCATATGTTACTACCTGTGCTTTATCCTAACGTATAGCCATTTGATCTTAATCATAATGATCTAAAAATTTCTGGATAGGAAATTTTTGTATTGCATGGTTATTTATTTTAATTATTTGTGATGTGATTTCTAAATGTAGCTGTGTTTTTAACAAATCCCACTTTTTGGGCGCATTCATCTTAATGAAACTTAATTATAAAGTTTAAAGCAAGGTGTTAGAATTCTTGTTAACATGTTAGTAATGGTGCCAACCGGAATTTCATAGTATTTTTGAAAACTCTGAAAAGCCCCGATTGATCTAAGATTTACAGTCTGGTTCGCTGTAGATAATGGGGCGTACCAGCGCGGCTTCGTTTGGCATGCAGCCAACCTCTTCACCCACCATTTGTTGAGCGGGAAAGTGACAACATTGATGTAAAACGGCTGATACGAACACAGTCTTATCGCTTGCCGAAAGAAGAGAAAACGGGTTGGCGCCACACCAAACGCAGCAGCTCAGACACGCCCCATCATGCGCAGCGAATAAGGCTACGACTACTACTGCCTATCGAGTCGACTGTTAAGAGATATTCTGCTAGTTTGTGCACTTGTCGCATCGTGCATATAACACCCCACATTTTTTGGGGGTGTTGTTAGTGGAAATTACGCTCATTGCGCTGTCTTACCATTAGAACGCGTTCACACTTCGCGATCGCGCGATCCAGTGGAGCGATCCTGACCGGGAGCCTTCACTGCCAAACGGTGCACCGCAACGGCACTTTTCAAATGGGCATTGTGCGAACGCGG